CGACGATGGTGACGCCCGGCCAGATCGACCTCGTCCTTGAGCGGCGCAAGGGCTTCGTGCGCGAGGCGATCATGGCGGGCGCCTCGCTCGTCCCCGTGCTCGCCTTTGGCGAGAACGACTTGTACGCCGTCTTCCACACCGACGACACGCACCCGATCGCGCGGCTGCAGAGGGTGGTGCGGCGGCACTTTGGCGTCGCCCTGCCGCTCTTCCGAGGCCGGTCCATGTTCATCACCGAGTTCGGCCTCATGCCCAACCGCAAGCCCATCGCCATTGTGGTCGGCGGGCCGCTCGCGCCGCCACCGCTCGACGACGCGCGCCGGGCTGCCTTCCGCCCAAAGTGGGGCCCCGACGACGCCCCTTCCAACGACGACGCGCGGATGGTGGACGCGATGCACACGGAGTACGTCGACGCCCTGTCCGCGCTCTACGAGGCGCACAAGGAGCAGCCGTGGAACCTCGCCGGCATCAACCGGCAGGGCACCTTCAGGGTACTCAAGTGACACGAGCGTGGAGCGCGCCGCGCATTGGGTTGCAGTCACGGTCGCCCCTCCCCTCTCCCGCCCCTCGCTTTCGCCTGCAAGCCCCGGGGCGGGACTCCGGACCAACGGCAACGTAAACGATGGTGGCTGGGAACCAGGAGAGCTAGTAAGACAGCGACCCTGAGGGTGGCATAGCGGATAGAGTTCGCACACATTGCTGTCTAAAATGAGAGGCGGAGCAAAACGGGAGCGTCACGCCGTCAGTCTCGAGCCGAGCCTTCAAGACTAGTTGCAAAAATAAAGCCGTGCGGTACGCGACGGGTGTTGTGTACTCTAGGGGTCGGGAGGGGAGATTTGGGGTCGGCCAGAATAACCCGTGTGCACGCTTTTTTGCTCACCACGCATCCTCTTACATGCTTAGAACACACGGGCAGCGCCACGACTAACAAAAATAACGGCCAACGCCGGACTGCGATCTCGCAAAATCTCGATTTTTTCTCCGCGACAGCGGGGGTAAGTGTCATAATGTTGACTTTTGATGTTTTTTGGTCCGTATTGCTCCCAGCGCCCTTGCCCGCGCTCCCTGAGGCCATGGCTGGTGCTACTATGATGGGATGCTACCTGGCTACCGCGAGAGCGACCCAACTCGTCGACATCGTCCGATGATGGTGCCTCAAAGTCAGCCTCCGGAGGAGGCTGTCGTGGGGTCGAGCCGGCGGTGGCCGTGACATGTGGTTCCACCACCCCTCGCAGGCTTTGCCTCTGACCGCCACCGTTCCCAGGCTACCTTATGGGATGGAAAGGAAGGCTGGGCGAGCGTATAGAAGCGTGCTCGACCTCGTCGTGGCAGCCTGCACGGCAGCGCTGGCAGGCGTGATGAGCGTCGTGCCACCTGACCCGAGTGCGCGGT